AAGGATTGCATTACCCGCATTAATTGGATATATCCCTTGTTATTTTTCAATTGCATGTGGATAGATAAAATATTGCTTACCATTTTATCTAAACTTTGATTTCTAAATGATTTCTGCAGTCCTTTGGAGTTCAATGGTGCCCTTTCAGTAACTTGACCCGACTTCGTTCATCTTTCGAGTAAGTCAAGTTAGCATAATAGAATACTCAGAGTATCAGACTAACTATTCTCTGTTTAAATTCGTAGACTTCAATCATGTTTGACAGTTATTAACCGAACTTGGTTTAAATTCGTAATCTTCAATCATATTTATAAGAGGTTACTTTTGGTGTATTTACCCTGGAAGTCTAATGGTGGTAATAATACCAGTTAGGAAAATTACAATAGAAAATCTTGTTAAAAATATTTTGAGCCTGTAGATCTTGCCTATTTTTCTCAGTGCCCATATTTGGTATAAATTGATGAGCTAGTTTGTGTATTATGTTTGTTTATTGAAGACATTAATCATGTTGAGGGCAATAAATTTTAAGTGTTTATGCACAGAATGTGGTCCAACTTCATGTATGATTCCTTGGATTAGCGTGGGACATTACTCGTGACCATATAGGTGTATTATGTGAATTGATTGTGTAATCACCTCTACTTCGTTCATGTGAGGGACAGGGATAAAATCACTTCATCGGAAATGTTGAGTAACTTGAATAATTTATCTGCTAACATTTCATATCAATAGATTCACTTTAGCAGCCCCTTCCAAACAAAACTTTGGTCGCTGTTTTTCATGTGCAATTCATGCTGTTATTCTTTGGTTGAAGCATATATCTTGTCATCCTTGCTTGTTATTCTGCTTTCCTTCTAATGAAATATCTTATATGTCCCCTGCATTACTATATGTTGCCTGTTCACCTGTCATTGTTCGTCATTTTCAACTTATGATTTGTTTGGAATATTACGTTGGGCTTTAAAGTTGTTCCATTTTGTAACTATTATATATGATGGGGGGCAAAATCATGATCTCCATTGGGTATATTGGAACTGAAGAGATTGCTTGTGGCTGTATTACTATATTACTATCATGAAGATTGGTGTATCAGATTTTTCTGATTACGGTGTTTGGCAGTGTTATACTGGCTTTAAAAGTATTAAATCCGGCTTTGGTAATACTTTTGCCACTGCCCCTAAACCCTTAATACAGAGAGAGAGAGAGAGAGAAGTGAAGAGCAGAATACCTTTTAAGAAAATGGTAACTGATACTGTTTTTTTTTTCCAGGGAAGGGGACTTTTCATCAACTGCATGTAAGATTCGTGCTTATCAGCCTCTTTCCGTTATTTTGTATTTGACTGAATAATAATATCCTGACTAGAATGTTAAGATGCAGATCATGAGATACTGGGACAGCACGCAATATTTGCCGAACATACAGGTGTATCATCTGCTAGTCATCCTTCCCCTTATATTGCTTACATTGGACCAGTACATCCAACTACTTCCAACCCAGGTGCAACTATTTCAGAAGCTTCTAACTTCAACCACTGGAATGGCCTACCAGCGCCTACGGACATGCCAACCTCCTACATATTTCCTGCTGCGGACCTTCATTATCCCCATTGGGAACACCATTCCTCACATTTCTCTTCAGCCGCTGGCCTTATAGGTGCTCCTGCCGATCAGCCCTCAGTATCACCTGGCAGTCGAAGGCTAGCCAGAGGTGGTCCAGAGGTCCCGAGATCAGGATCTTTTGTACATCCTTTCCTTGTTAGTCACAGGTACCTCAATACAGTTTGTGTACCTTACTAAGATACTTTTGTGATAGCTGAAGTTAATATATTGTTCAAGTGTGATAATGGGGGCCAAATCATAATGACTTAATGCATAATGAACTTATGATGGTTTAAATGCATAATGAATTTGTGTTACACAGAACTAATAGATAAAAAAAGCAGTGAACTAGGCATTTTTTTCTCGCTAGTGTATATTTGCGAAGGTCGTGAGATTTATACACGGGTACATGTAATTCTGCAGTTCTGCTGCTAGACCTGGAAGCTCGGTCACGTCTTCAATGATCCCTCCTTATCTGGGCAGCAATGCTCGGACCCATGATAGAGTCCAGGCTCATCAAGGTTACTATCGACGTCCTAATTCAACCACAATGCAGATGCCTATTGCATCTGCCAATCGAAGATCCAGCAGTCATAGTGGACCAGCTCAATTAGCACCAGTGGCCTTATCACCAGACCATGGTGGTGGCTTCTTTTTTGTCCCATCAGGACGCCATTTTCAAGATGAGACCCGTCTTCCAAGTCACTTCCCTGCTTGGGAAAGAGACCAGTTGCCCTCATTGTCATTTAACCATATGGGTAGAGATCCAAGTTGGAGAGCATACCACCAGGCAGTCGGCGTGTCAGACCCAGGTATCAGATCCAGCAACTTTCGATCCAACAACTTTCGATTAAGGCACAGTCCAGAAAGAATGCCTTCACAAAATCGGTGACATACTTGTTTTATGCACTGTTCCTTGTGAAGCAAACCACCATGATTATAGAAAATCAAACTTTATATATGCTTGAGAAATGTTACATAATGGTCTGGCTATATAGTTTGGGTATCCCTGCAATTGAAGAGATACTTTCCCTTAAAGGGCATAAAATAAGATAAGATGATATCTTATTCGGGAAGATCAGATTTTTGAAGAGATACTTTTTTGGGTATTCTCATATCAAACTGATAAATTATGTGGCTGGATTTGAGGTATTGAACTATCTCTGTGTGATATATCACTCCACAAATATTTTGTATTGAGAAATACTCATTGCAATTGTAATTATACACTTTTGTGCAAAAACTGGCCTCAGTATTTGCTTCAGAATTAGTCAACTAGTTTTATTGAAATATCATGATCAATATATCAAATGATAATTCTTATTTTGATATTGAAAAGGGAAAATGATATTTTTGCAATAATTAAAAATGATATATAGTTCAAGTAATTGATCTTTTTGCAATAATTGATTTGCCAATTCATATAAGCACCAAATCTTTCATGTATGCTCAACCTCAACATGCCCATTTTTGCTGATTTTCTTCATTGTGCTGTTCCCACTCAAATGTTTGATGAAGAATGAATCATTTACATTATTCATAATCTTAAATTCTTTCAAGTACCATTCATTACCAAAGATTTTTTATACTTGGAAACTAATTCTTTAACAAGTGTAAATCAAGTATAATAATAGAACTTAATAACTAGGCATAATATGAAATACTAATACCCATTTAAAAATATATGTTATAAATAGGAATATTCATTAATTTATGGTTCAATAATTGACCCTTGCAATAATATCACAAGAGATGAAAAGGTTGATAAAACGACCAAACAATTAAACATACATTGAAGGTGAAATGTAACATAGCCCAATCATTTAAAACAAGTATCTATCATTCATCTAGAGAGAGTTTATAGTTCACTAATCAGTGAAAAATAGGTAATAAAATAGAGTTATGCTTCATACCATCCATTTTCAATGCAATTTAGGAACCCTTTAGTCACAACTAATTGATTATTTGAGTTATGACTATTTACTCCATAGTAGATTCTATCCACTCATCCATCAATACCAACAACTTATTAACAACTCAATACTTGTTAGCCCATTTTAAAGCGAAGATGGTATTGAATTATATCCGTTATGACGATCCGAGTACGACACATATGATAAATAAGACGATGTAATAAAGTTGAGAATGTGGGCATTTTGTTAACACATACACATAAATTTTATTATTCCCTTTAATTAGGATATACTTTATCTCGAAATTGTAGTAATTTGCCTTAGAAAGAGGGGGATTCTTTTTGTGACTTGTTGGTCCATTTTAGTAGTGCATGTAAAAAGGAAATCTCGTTTGGTATGTAGTGTTGGAAATTGAAGTGTGTAGACAAGAAAAGAAGGTAATGCTGCCAAATAAGAAGAACCTTAAATTGCAAGGAATGGTAAAAATAAATAGTTATTACTAAGATTTTATGGACATTTCAACACGCAATGCACAAATATCCAAGTTTTACTATAATTCTATGACAAGTTTTAGAGAATGAAAGAATGAAATCAATCTTTTTGAATAGATTAATGTACCAAATGCCAAATTTATATTCAAATTAAAGTAAAAGATAGATTAAAAGAATCTTCTCCATGGTTAATTTCTTCAACCATGTAATTCCCAACCAATTTTATAACACAAATTAAGCCAGCAAGATTCCTCTCGAGAGAGGAATAATGTGTAAACGTAAACGAATGTATAGAGGAAAATGAAAAGACAATTATATTATTCTATTTATACTTGTAATAATATTTTTATCCTTAAAATTAAGTATAAAAATATTACTTCTCTTTCCATTAATGGAGAGAATCCATTACACCATACAAAAATTAAGCATGGGTAAAAGTAAAGCTTCAATATAAAACCCCAAATATTAAACTATGGGAGGGGATCCACTTATTCTAAGAGTAAGTTTTTTTTAAACTTACTTCATATTTTAGCCATCAATTTTAGGGAAATCCAATGGTTTGAATTAGTGAGTAGATTTAAACCATTAGATTTCCCTATAATTGATGGCTAAGATGTGGACTAAGTTTAAAAAACTTACTATTGGAGTAAATGGATCTCTCCTCTTAAACTATAAGTAAAATAATATCTCACAAAGTGATACTTTATTTATTAATGATTGGTTTGAAATTGACATATATCACTTTCTTGTAATATAAGAAGATTTTGTAGGATGAAATATCATTACTCTTTCGAAACTGATTGCATGTAATGGCTTCCTTAGAGATTTTCATTAGTACCTGCGAAAAAAACATGAATCACATTATAAAATGAAAAACATTATGAAGGTGACACTCACAAAACTTGCAATGCGATGATCTCCTCATTGGTTTTCATGTTATAACCAAACATCATTCACACAAGTTCCTTTTTGTACAAGAAAGAAAATCCATAGTCGGAAGATCATGTTGGAGAAGGAGAACACGTGCAATATCAGATTAAACTCGAGCTTTGAGTTTGATGAAGATGTTGCACGTGCCCTGCTTCTCCGACTAGAACTACCCATTGATTACAACTTAACCATGACCATAGTGAACAAAGAGTAACTAGCTCATCATGCATTTATATACTCGTTTGTTTGTAAAGAAGAGAGAGAGAGTTAGATAAGGGAGGAGTTGAGTGAGTGAAAGTGAATTTATGAGTTTGAGTCTAAAAGTAGCAATGTTTTAAATTAAGGATCGATGAGTAAGACCCCTCTCCATTAATGAAGAGACAAATAACTTTTTTATGTGTATTTTAAGGATAAAAATGTAATTTTATTTTAAATAAAAAAGATATAAATGTCAATACATGTTGAATTTCCTTTACTTTTTCATATCACTTCCCTTTCCATCTCGCTGGAACTTTAATTATGGTTCTTCCTCCAAGAATTTATATATCATATCATTAAACCAATCAAAATACTCATAGGTTGCTACATTGGTTTAATAATTAAATAGTATATTGTCGAAATTGGATTATATATATCATACAAACAATAATTTTATAAGTGAATTATATTCACACCCCTCGAATTTTTGTGAAATCACACAAATCACTATATCATTTTTTATATATACACAAAACCTCTAATTTATATACATATATTATATTGCCCCCGCTACAACAGAAATAAGTATAATATTTTAAACAAAAAAATGATAAATGTAATTAAGTTAAATAAAATATGGTATATTATCGAGACACGTCCAAATAGTATACGAGTCAATAACTTTATTATTATTTTAATTGCTATTATAAAAGGAAAGGTGGTGGGAGAATAAATGAGTAGCTATAGTGGCAACATGTGTAGTTTTACATAGAGACAAAAAGAAAGAAAAGTAACACAAAAGCTAAGAGATTAGGGTTTTAGATTGCATGTTGGACATTAGATTTTGAGAGGGAAAAGGAGGAAAAGGTTATGAGCTCATCAAAGAGAGTTTGAAGAGTGATTTGATTGATTCATTGTCTTGCACATTTACTATGGATTCCATAATTGTTATGATAATTTTCTACCAACATATTTGGTTAAGTAATCTAATATAAAAGATATTAGGTTAAATATGTTTTTGGTTTAAAATAGTTTGATCCACTTTTTTAATTTTGTTAAATTTAATGTCAATTTGACTTAAATTTGAAAATTTATTTTGATTTGATTTAGATTGCCTCAATCCAGTCGAAATGGGTGAGAGTCATATTTTCTTATCTATTTTCTTTAAATTTGTCCACAAGATCACAAACTTGTTCCGATTTTGGTAAAGATAGAGGCGGGATTTACAAAATGTGCCCTAATCCATTTCAATAAAATTGAATGTATTAGCTGAATATAATGAAAATTTGTGTAAAAATAGTAATCCTCAGAATATATATTTTGAAGAAAAGGGAAGAAAAATCCCTAGATCTTGATATTAAAAGAATATATATAGATATTGAAAGATGCATTTCTTATCTTTATGATGTTGAGGTTGCTTTTGTTGTCTTATTCATCACTAGCAAACTATTAGAGTTTTATAGTTTTAATATGTCTTTGAATGAGCTAATATACATTATATGTTTACTTTTTTAAGGTGAAAATATCTTTATCCAACTACTAAAGGGTTTATAACTTTACATAATATTGGGTTAAGTGTCAAAGAAATGAGCCAAACTAATGGGTCATTGTCAATCTAAATTACATCATTATGAGTTTATGACCTAGAGCTAGGTTTGCAAGGTATAGTATGCAATTGCATTATTAACTTTATGAAGGTATACCCAATTTAATTTATTAATTTTCTCTTAATTATTAACTTTATGATTTGTTAGATTGAATAGTTTGTGTACTTTTGGTATTCTTGATCATTTTGATGTCAATCTTCCCATGGCCTATTTCAACAAATTGCCTTTCTCAAACCAAAGAGATAATCTAATCACCATAGAACAAAAACTTAAGGAAAAAATAAAACAAAAACCTAGCTATCGTTAAGGTTGTACCATATGTTCACTTGATCCACCATCTTTCCAAATAAAATAGGCTAGAAAGTGTGTATATATAAATATGAATGGAAAAATACCTTAACAAAACAAGCTTATCAATAGGCTTCAACAAAAGAGGAAGGATTATTTATTTAGAATTGGCTTTCAAATCTTGCATCGGGGAGTCATAAGGTGGTCAAGTGGTAAGGGTGGAAGACTTAAGGAGTGAAGTGATAAGGAGGTTGATAGTTTAAATTTCACCCACAACAAAATACTAACATAGTAACATTTGACTATAAAAAAAATGTTGCAATATCGTTGTTAAGATTTTGTATGAGTCATAGATGAATTAGAAAAATCATCTTGATGAACAAAAAAGATGAGAAATGCATGAATGACTATTCTTAAATACGAATTTCGGGTAGTGATTTGACGTAGTGATTTCTCTTTATTAATATTCTCAATGTTCAATAAATAGAAGTATTAAGATAATCATCATTTATATACTACATTGACTAACTCAACAACTAACTAGTTAATCGATTAACGAATACAAATTTACTAAAATAATTAATTAATGGTATAGTTAATCGATCATATACAAAACAAAATAAACAACTATTTTGACAAACATTAGATAATTCAATCATACATATACATTAAAAGTAAATGTAAGAGGCATTGATCTAAACTACAATGGCAAAACATTGATATCTTTTGTTTAACATTATCCATTGACTCCATTTCTAATTTCATAATTTGGTTTCTAAAGTTTGCCTCACAAGGAACATTTTCGAAAAAGAAATATCTCTTAGGAAGTTAACATCCACATCTTTTTTAATATCCAATCAAAGGAAACCCCACATATAAAATTTTGCATGATTCTCCCAAATAACAACTTAATCAATATATCATAATATTCAAGATCACAAATATAATATACTAAATCTCAGTGTTAAATGTTGTATTAATATAAAATGTAAATGAAAAACATAGTACAAAAATTAAGTTGTGTTATTCCTAGTAAGGTAGGGGCCAAAATTGCTAAATACATACGACCAAAAGTGCATTTATGCCTTGTCCTTTGATAACATTCAATAGAGTAAATCATTGATTTTGTCTCTCGAAAATAGTATTAGATTAGGCTCTTAATGTTCTAAAATGATGTTCCTTGTCCCAAAATGTTCAAAGTATCATATTAGTCTTTTTTATAGTAGTAAATTTTTATTCTTTTTACCATTCACATACTAACTCAATTAACATTATAAATATTTAAAGGACAAAGAATATCATTTTAAAGGGTTAGGAAACTACCGACAAGATATTAGGGATGACAATAAAAATTAAAATCGTAAGTACCCGCTCAAATTCAACCCAAATTTACGGGAAAATCCAATGTGATTGAATTCAGGTTTGAATTTTACTCGAGCTCAACTTTTGAGTTCGAGTTCGGGTTTGGTACAATTGACACCCTATACATATATATAATATATATATATATAATTGACAATATATAGATGTAAAATTATAAAATTACACATAAATACATATATAAAAGCTATATATATAAATTTGACAAATATATAGAACATATATATATATATAGAAATATATATTTTGGGCGACTTTTTGTCGGTTTTGGGTTACCAAAAACCCGACGGGTTCGGAGATATTATCATTGTTTTCAACACCGCTTAATTCAGGTTCGAAAGGGTTGGTAAGCACAAACCTGTCTGAGATCTGCCCCGTTATCATTCCTACAAGACATTGGTCTAGTGGTGTAAGACACTGCTAGATCCCAAGTATGACCAAATATCCAATGATTGAATACCTGATAACAGTCACGCAAATGAAAGTAATTAGTTCTTTACCCACACGGACAAAAAAAAAAAGTAGTAGGAAACTAAATGACCATCTACCCTATAACAAGTTGATGTGGGCTTTTCAAAATCAAGCTATGGCCCATGCCCATTATCGTAGTCAATGGCCCAAGATTTGGGCTTCGCCGTTTAACCCGTTTTCTTTTTCAGCTACCCTCACCTTCGTGTTCTTTCAATTCTCTCTGGTTCTGATTCAGTGGTTCCATTCTTCACTTGAAAAACTGGTAACATTTTCATGAGTGCTTCCATTTCTATCATTGTTCAATTCACTCCATTTTCTGCTTTTTTTTTGTAATTATGTTTTCATGTTTCTGTTTGTAAAGGTTAGTTGAAGAATCAGTACATTGGGAAACGTTTAATTCAATTTCTAGGGCTTTATAGCGATTTAAGGTAATTAAAATTTCATGTCAAATGTTTGATTTAACGAAACTGCTGCGTTTATCTTATGATATTATTATTTGTACAAGTTTATAGTAATTATAGTTTGAGTTAAGGAAATGGCCTTTTGAACTTAAGCTTCATTGCATGTTTCATTATTTTGTAATTAAAAGTTCGACTAAGTGCACGAGACTCCCAATTAGTGTGATCTAGCATTTTAAATTGCAGTTGCGGTTGCGATTGCGATTGCGTTCATTACGGCTGTTGCCATGCGGATTGCGGCGGTTGCGGTTTGAATTATTTTGTGATTAAAAAAATATTTTTGAATCCGATGTGGGCTGATGCGGTCCAAATGCAGTCCGATGCGGTCGCATCATTGTGATTTGGAGTCACACTGCAATTGCGGTGTGATGCGGTTGCTGCGGCCACCGCAACCGCAATATTGCGTCTACATATGTGATGCGGTATGCAATTTAAATCAGTGGACTGGGATCCTAGGATTATACATTATGCAGCCTTATCCTGCAAATCTAAAGGCTGTTTCCAGGTTTTATTATTTTATGTGTAGAGAAAAAAGAAGTAGGTGCATCTTACTCTATGGAGCATTTTTTTTGGTTTGTTATTTCATATACTTTGCAAATTATTCAACATTTAATTAGTAGCAAACTAGCCATTAAGTTACACATATATTAGCTACATCCTGATTTGTTTTGGAAGAAATTCCCTGAAAACTTTATAAGTAATTGCATGTTAAACTATAACTTGTTGAACGAGCATTCGAGCAATGCTTTCTCTAAATCGATCCATAT